CGTTAGCCCATCTACAGTAGACGGGGCTAACGTTAGCCCATCTACAGTAGACGGGGCTAACGTTAGCCCATCTACAGTAGACGGGGCTAACGTTAGCCATTAATTATTATTCCCCGTCTAAATAAGAAGTTATAATTTATTTATTATCTAGATACTATTAATAAGAGGAGGTGAAATGCAGCTTCAGACTAGCTTTGAATGTGGTGATGTCATCAGTACGCTGCTGTTCCAATTGACCCAGATTTATTCTGCTCCCGTTCTCCCCGAGTCCAGACTTTCCTGGGTTCTAGTCAAGAACATACACGGCGAGAACACGAGTCCTTATTCGCGTTCTGGTGAATTGAGAAAAAGTCTGAATTTCTGATCTGAGTTTTAATTGACTAAATATTGATAAGGATTAATCAATCTAAAATGATCCTTAGCCAAATGTTTGATCCATCTGATTACAGATCCCAGCAGCAAAGACGTGGTTTTTCTGATCGATGGTTCTGAAGCTTCTCAGCCGAGGTTCTCTGACATTCTAGAGTTTGTAGAAGCAATAGTGACAGACTTAAGCATCGGGAACAACAGGCACCGCGTGGCTGTGGTCCAGTACAGCGACACGGCACAGACTAACTTCAACCTGAACCGCTACGGGACTAAGCACGACGTTCTTCAAGCGATTAACAGTCTCACTCACAAGGGAGGTCAACCTATAAACATTGGATCGGCTCTCCAGTATGTGAGAGACCATGCATTTACTCCAGAGGCTGGAAGTAGGATCCGACAGGGAGCGCCACAGATACTGATCCTGCTGAGTGGCGGAAGGTCTGCCGATGATGTAAGAAACTCAGTGAGAGAACTGAAGGAAATGGGTGTTACCATAGTCGCCATTGGAAGCAGTGATGCAGACACCCTGGAGCTACAGACCATATCCCATGAACCTAGATACGCACTCTCTGTGGCCGACTACGGAGAGCTGCCCGCTGTCAAGCAGAATGTGTTGTCTTTGCTGAGAGAGACGTCGCATCATGCTTTGCATTCTATAGAGCTTGGTAAGAACAGAACTCAATTCATGTTTTTTCCAGCGGAGAAAACTGTCTTGACGACAAACTGGTGCCTTTGAGTTCAACTTCCTGTCTTCGTTGCAGATTCAAAGAAAAGTGACATAGTTTTTCTGATCGATGGATCATATGACTCCAGAAACGGATTTGAAGGAATCCGAGCTTTTATTCAAAGGATTGTTGAAAATGTAAATGTGAGTCATAATGGAGACCAGGTAGCTGTTGTTCAATACAGCCGTGATGCAACAGCTAATTTCTACCTGAACTCCTATTCATCCCAGTATGATGTGCTGAGTTCCATAAGAACGATGAGGCATAAGCTGGGACGCCCTCTTAACATCGGCAAAGCCCTGGAGTTCGTCAGGGATCATGTTTTTGATGCTTCAGTTGGAGGCAGAGGAGCTGATTTGGCTTCTCAGTATCTGTATTTATTTAGTGGTGGAAGGTCTGGAGATGATGTAAGAGGAGCGGCGCAGACGCTAAAGGCCAAAGGGATAAAGACTTTGAGTATTGGAACAAAGAACGCCGACACATTAGAAATGCAAACCGTCTCTTACACACCTGGACATTATTTTAATGTTCCCAACTTTAGCAACCTGCAGAGCATTTATGCATCCGTGGAAAACAAATTCAGAGACTCACAAACAGCCACTGAGATCCTGACTGGTAAGAAGCAACGCATGACAGCTCCCACGATGGCGGACCAGAGTTCCTGTTGCTAATGCATGACTTTGTTCATATGTAAACATTTCAGACACGTCTACAGCTGTAGAGGAACTACAGACGGCAGATATCGTCTTCCTGCTTGATGGATCTAATTACATGAAACCCAATGAAAGACTCGTTTTAGAGTTTGTCTTAGACTTTGTCAAGAAAATAGAGATTGGGCCAAATAACGTGCAGGTTGCTTTGGTCCAGTACAGCGCAGAGCCTGCTGCTGAATTTACTTTGAACAGATACTCACGGAAGGAAGAAGCCTTGAATCATTTGAGAAATGTGAAGCTGATGGGAGGGGGCTCAGTCAACACAGGCAGAGCCATTGATTTTGTGAGAAACACGGTTTTGGTGGCTTCAGCTGGAAGCCGGCTCCAGCAGGGGGTCCCACAGGTTCTGATTTCTGTAAGTGGGAGCAAGTCGGAGGATGATGCCTTAGGGCCGGCGGGGAGGTTAAAGAATGCTGGAGTTTCTCTGTTTGCTGTTGGAGTGAACACAGCAGATAGGAGCGAGATGGAGCAGCTAGCTCCAGGGGCCCGGTACTTTCTGAAGGATGTATCTGACTTCCTGCCAGTCAGACAACAGGTGCTGTCAGTCACTACCGCTACCAGAGGCTCTGTAAACCCAAGTGTTGGTAAGTGAACATTTCTTTCATTGAAATAATTACAGAACTATATTAACGTAGTTGTCCAGCAGTACTAATCAAAAACATTCAACTATTTACGTTCCTAGGATTAACTTCTACTAAGAGAGATATTGTCTTCCTGATTGATGGCTCTGATGATGTAAGGAGTCAGTTCATCTCTATACGTAAATTCATTGCAAACCTGGTTCAGAACTTGGATCTGGACCAACAGCGAGATCAGATTGCTGTTGTGCAGTACAGCAACAATGCTAAGATGGAGTTCAGTCTAGATGCCTACAGCACCAAAGGCGATGTTCTGCAGCACGTTGCCAGGCTCCAACCAAAAGGCGGCCGGCCTCAGTATATCGGTGCAGCTCTGCAGTTTGTGAAAGACAATGTTTTTGTTCCCAAGGCTGGAGCACGAATTAATGAAGGAGCCAGTCAGGTACTTTTTGTCTTGGCTGGCGGTCGTTCGAGGGATTCTCCACGTGGCCCAGCAAGGGCATTAAAAAGAGGCGGGGTTGTTATATTTGCAATCGGTTCCAGACTTTCCAGTTCAGCTGAAATGCAGGCTATTTCAGACCATGCTTTCTCCATCCCTGACTTTGTTAATCTCACTGGAATTCAACAACATGTATTAAGGCACCTAACTGCAATCGAAAGTCCGAAGACTGTCGAAGGTAAGATAATACCTTATTGCAAATATGTAATAAATATGAATAAATATACTATATATATATGAGATATTAGGGCTGTAACGATATGTATATTTGTGTCAAACTCAACGGTGCACTACTTGCAGTTCGGTATGGATCTTTACAGAATAGATGTGTTCTCAGTTTATCACACCACAGAAATGTTTCATTAACAAACAATCCAACATGGTTTCTGTGAGGCTCGAAGGGGATCACTACTTGATCTGTTTTCTGTCCTCCTTAACTCCTATCATGGGGAGAGTTTTCTATTTTAATGTTTCATTCATTGTTTTTTGCTCCAGTCAGTCCTGCTTGCTATAAACGCGACTCCAAACTGACTCTTTTTCCGTGAGATTTCCAGATTTTATTGTGTTTTACTTCGTAACCGCTTCTCTCTTCCTGTCAGACCCATGAAATTGCTGCTGAATTGCTGCGTAGCCTGACTGAAAAAGACCTGGGCTCTATATCAGTCAGATCCTTCAGCACTTCATAAACAAATAGTTTTATTTGATAACAGCAGAGATAGATCCATGAGTGTAGAGAATCGTGTGCAGTTGCACAAACACACAAACAAAACCGCAAACTCAACAACTGTCATGATGGGTTTCAGAAAAGCCCAGTATGCGGAACACCACGGAGACAGATGAAAAGTTTAACAAAGTTTATTGAGCACAAGCACATGGAATAAACACAGGAACTGGTTCAGGCCTGGGGGCAGGTTCACTGGAGTCTGTGAGGATGACAGTTCAGTTAGCTTGGGAGCAGATGAGTTTGTGTTAAAGAGTTTCTGATTGATACCTTGAGGTGTCCGGGTTTGGCTTTGAGAGAGGAACTGTTGGGTCCAGAGACTGTTTAGTTCAGCAGAGTCCAATAACCGCTTCAGCGTCT